TTTGTGGACTGCAGTCTTCAAGTCATTCCACAGATTCTCAATGGGGTTTAAGTCTGGGCTCTGACTAAGCCATGCAAGGACATTCACCTTTTTCTCCTTCAACCACTGTGTGCAGCAGATTTTCCTCAAGAATTTGACCATATTTTGCCCCATCCATTTTTCCTTCTATCCTGACAAGTTTTTCCTTCAATCCTTTTTCCAACTCAGTAATTCTGTTTTATTTTTTTATTTTGTTGGTGTTATATCTTTCACTTGGTGTTGGGGTTATAATTTTAACTTTCTTCATTTCAGGCTGCAAAAAAAAAAAAAAAAAGATTATTTTATTCAGCAAGAATGCATCAAATCGATCAAACTGACAGTAAAGACATTTATAATTTTACAAAACACTTCTATTTCAAATAAATGCTGTTCTTTTAAACTTCATATTCATCAATTATCCTTATAAATGTATCATGATAATAACTGATAAATATGAAGAAGAATAAACGTTTCTTGAGCAGCAAAATCAGCATATTAGGATGATTTCTGAAGGATCATGTGACACTGAAGACTGGAATAATGATGCTGAAAATGTAATTAAATTTATTAAAAATGCAAATGCTACTTTAAATTAGAATATTTCACAATATTTCTGTTTTTACTGTAATTTTAATCAAATACACAATCTTGGCGAGCAAAAATCGTTCTGAGTCTGACCCCAAACTTTTGAATGGTAGTGTACATATTGGTTATTTGTAATATCACAAATAGTCTACTCTCTGTAGAGATAAAGGTAGATGTTGTATTTAAAAGCATTTTATATATATATATATATACATCCAAACGCTCGCCTATCATTCATCGACATCAAATGTGGCTTATCATCTGAAATATGTAAGTATTAGCAACTTTACATGGCCGCTCAATCTAATGTTAACCTAGAAAAATGTGTGCTATTCAAGTATCTGAACAGTAGCGCGCTCACAGCGTGACAGATGGAGGCGCCGGTGCGCTCACTTGCTCTTAAAATACTCCATCATTTTGGTCATACAGATAAGAGTAATACATCTTTTGAATCTGTAAAGCCTCAACGTTTATTTGTATGCACTCACAATAACAACAAAACGTT